AGAGAAGAAAAGGATATAAAAGGGATGAAAATTAAAAAGGAAGAATTTAAGTTGCAAGCATTCGCAGATGATCTGGTTTTCATTTTAGAAGACCCACTAGAAACAGCATCAAAATTGATAGAAAAGATAGAGGCATATGGAAAGGTGGCTGGTTTGAAAACAAATAAGACAGATAAGATAAGACAAAGATCTTGACAAAGAATATGCTATCAAGACAAAAGGAAGAACTGGCCGATCTATTGAAAATTCAGGTCATGAATAAGATCAAGTACTCAGGGATACATTTGACAGCAAGATGCAGTATGCTAAAAGAGAATAATTATATCAAACTTAAGCAGCAGATAGCGTTAGATTTGGCGAAATGGGAAAATTTACAACTGTCATTAATAGGGAGAATATCAACAATCAAGATGAATCTATTACCCAAATACATTCAAGGTATGATAAAGACTCTAAAACAGAAGGTTTCTATGATAAACTGACTGATTTAGATAAGATTTTGACAGGTACTGATGAAAAGGTGATTAAAAAATTGTATGGATATTTATTAGAAATTAAACTAGAAGATGAACAAGTTAAAGAAACAATGATTGCTTGAGGGAAGAATTTTGGATATGGGATTGATCTAGAGAAATGGCAAAAATTGTGGTCTCAAAATTATAAAATGACAATGTCAACAGCATATAAAGAAAATTTGTATAAGATGTTTTACAGGTGGCATTTTCCTCTGACAAGAATAGCAAGAATGTTCAAGAACAAATCTGGAAAATGTTGGAAATGTCATCAGACACCTGGCTCATATTACCATATGTGGTGGACTTGTGCGGATGCTAAAGAATATTGGACTAAAATCCACACGTGGTTGGAAAAAATGACAAAAAAGCATATAGATTTGAAACCAGAGATATTTTTATTGGGAATTTTACCTGAAATATATTGTAAAGAATTGAAATACCTGATTGTAAATGTATTAACAGTGGCTAGGATTGTATTTGCTAAAAACTGGAAAAATGAGAAAATACCATCACAGGACGAAATCATTAAGAAAATATTGGAATGTGCTGAAATGAGTAGATTGACATTTGAAATCAGAGAACAAGATGATAAACGATTTTACAAAGTTTGGGATCTATTCCATCAATGGCTAGACAATAAAACATGGTAATGAAATATGTAGATTCTTAGAAAATAATAAAGATGTATTCTTTTCTTATTATATCTACAAAATGATTGTAGGATAGATTTGAGATGATAATATGAACTGTCATAAAACAAATTAAGTAAAATATGGATTATTTTGTAAAACATGAATGAATAAAAGTATAGTCAAATGATTGATTAACAATGATATTAATGTATTTAATATTTGATTGAAAATATGAGTATACAATGTAATTGTAATTGAAGACTACGAAATGGAAGCACAAAACAATTTGCAAACCAACCGGCACACTATATGTATATATATGGAAAATGGCTTAATGTTTTTATGTTTTGTTTGTCTATGTTTGTCTTAAAAACCAATAACAATTTTATTAAAAAAAGATTCATATTTATTAACATGAGATAGAAAGTTTATTTATTCACTTATTAAACTTGGGCTTTTAGAAGCCAACTCAAAATCACAGTATTTTCAGAAGATGCTATTTTTCTGATACGTCAAACTAAGTTTCAAGGCAATGGAAATTCATCTCTGCATATTGTGTAACAGAATTGTTAATTTATTTTTCCAGAAGGATAGCCATGTTATGTTTTGATGTTTTTGCTTCAACTAGCTAATGAAGTGGACTACGATCTCTGAAAATTTAAATCAGGGGTATCAACTGGGCGTGACTGACACAGGACGGCTGCGCTGGGACAGAACAACTCGCACCGGCTAACTCAATGTGAGGACAATTCACCCCACCTGGCACTGCACCTGTAGCTCCACCTCTTCAGCCTCAGTGGTGGGGCTCCTGCTGGACAGAGCTGCCACCGCCGCCGGTTCTGCCGGAGCGGGATGAGGTGAGGCCGAGGTTATTTGATGCTCTGGCTGGCTGTCACTGCCGGCCAATGATCAGCCGAGGGTCAAACAGGCTGCAGCTGCTGCTGGGCACTGCCAGCCCCCGTGCGCTCGCTGCCTCCTGTTTATGCACCTAGGGGGAGTACCCAGTCAGGCTAGGGTGGGCCAGGGCCGAGATGGTGGGGGCTAGTCCCTCGCCATCACCATTGCAGCCCCGTGGACTAGATCGGGGTCGCCAACCTTTTGGATCCCAAGGCCCACCAAATTCATACTTTTAAATCCCGAGGACCACTAATACGAATTTTTTAAAAAAGCTAATATACTTAATTTAATTTTTTTATATTAAATATAAATTTTATATAAAAATTATACACACTCACACTTATTTAATTATAACAAAAATGTAAATACTTAACGATAACAAAATAAAACGTCCCAGGCTGGAAGCCTTCCCCCACCTGCACCTTCCAAAGAGACAGAAGAGCCTTTCAGATGCCAGGTGGAGGATTGAAGAACTCAAATCTGCAGCCGAGGAAAAGCTGGGGGGGGGGGAGGTGGCTCTTTCAGCCTCACCTGGAGACAGGCAAGGAAACATGTTCCTGGGGGCATTTTGCTCACTTTAGCACTTCCCTGCCAAACCCAGCCACAGCCAGTGATTTGGGGGCTGGGGAGCGGGGAGAGAGAGAGAGAGAAAGCATCTCTCGCATTACAAGGGGAGGAAAGGAGGTGAAACCAAGACCTACAAAACACCAATCTACCACGTTCCAGGAGATCTTAAAAACCACAAACACTCCCACTTGCAGTTCCCGTATCTCCCGGCTCAGGTCCCTGGGATGCACGCTCCCACACACGGCGGAGGCGGCAACAACAGTCCCCTCCCCCAGCGTCCTCTGTCAGCTCTCCCCATTAGTTCTCTAGCTTTGAATTGCTCCTGGTTCTCTCTCTTTCCTCCCCGCCCCCGCCCATGTGCAGGCAGGAAAGGAGAGGGAGATAGAGCCGTGCAGAGCTCTCTGGTTTTCCAGCCCTCGCTGCCTCTCCCAACATCGAAGCCTCAGAAACGCAGGCAAAGCTGCCACAGTGGTAGTGCCGAGTTGCTTGCTTCTCCTCTACTGCCTCCTCCTCCAGCACCTCTTTCTCTGAGTAGGGCGATTCTGAACTAACAGAGCATTCTAAAGCAACTCAGGATGCTACTGCTGCAGCAGCTTTGACCGCCTCTGTGAGGCTTCGATGTTGAGAGAGGCAGTGAGGGCTGGAAGAGCTGAGAGCTGCGCATGGCTCCACGTGGGTGCGGGGGGGGGGGGGGGGAGGAAAGAGAGGCGGGATCAATTTAAAGCTAGAGAACTAATGGGGAGAGCTAACAGTGGGCGCTGGGGGTGCGACTGTTGTTGCCGCCGCCGCTGTGTGTGGGAGCTGGTTGGCACATGCAACTTGGAGACCTGACTCCAGGGTCGCTCGAAGAGCCGGGATGCAAGAGAACTGAGCAGCCCAGATTAATTGCTTTTGGGGGCCATTTTTTCTGCAGCCCACCAAAATTTTTCCATGGCCCACTAGTGGGCTGCGGCCCACTGGTTGGCAACAGCTGGACTAGATCTAACCATATTATGGGCTGTATCTGGCCCAAGGACCTTGAGTTTGACATGTCTGATTTAAATGATCATAAATTAGGTGCCACAAGACTTTAATTTTTGTTAAGAAGCTTTGGGGTTTGACAGCACTTTGAGGAAGAACATGAGATTTGGACTGAGTACACATGTGCATGTAGCTCTGTCAGCAATCCTTGGAAGCAGCTGGATTTGTGGATGTTTCTGGATTTGTGTAGCTATTTTGTGATCAAGGGGAAATCAACCTGTTATATATCAGGTGTTGCTAAGAATGCTCATAGTTTACATTAATAAATACCAGTAAACAATCATCTCATGCAACTGTTGTGGGAGAGCATGAAGATGACCTGAGTAGGAATATCTGCCCCACAAATAGGAACTGGCATCATCATAAAGGAAAGCATGTTTTTTTCCTTTTAAGTACTTTTATAAATACGGTATAATAAATGAATATATTTGGAAAGAAAAGCAGTAACCTAAAACAAAGATTGACAATTGTCTGATACCTGAGAGGGCTGTGGTAATGGATAGTAGGGTGGTTAAAAGCCACACAGAAATAAGATTTGATGGGGTTTTGAAGGGATTCTGATGTGTGCATTCTTTTAAAAAAATATTTATGTTAAACTAATATTGGGGCTTATGTGGAAGGAGTGTTGCTATGATCTCATAGCATAACTGTTACTGATTATGTAGAGAAGCACATTCTAATGTTGATGTTTTAAGGAAACAAACTGAACATAATTTTATGTTTTCAGATGCAGCCTTATGCCATGCCTGGAGCATAATTCAGACAAAAGCTAGACCTGAAATTTCATATATTTCTAAAACATAAAGTGAAAGCTGTTGTTTTCTCTGAGGAGTGAACAATCCTAAATATCAGGAGTGTGGGTGAAAAAGTCAACCTCTAAAGTCATAACAAAGTCAGACTGAAGTAAGGATTTTGATTATGTAAGAAAAGGGTGGAATAAAGGATGTTATATTTTCATCAATATAGCAGTCAATTCTCAATGAGAAAGCACACTTCATTGCCTGTCACAAAATCGCGGGCTGAAAATGAATAATGGGCCACTTACCTTTTGCCATAGGAGTGCCAGTGCTTGAACAATCGTATACATGATACCTCCACAGTTTTATTCTCAAATTTGCACAAACTAAACATATTGACCCAGCTGGTGCCTTAGGTGCATTTTCTGTGTAGTTTATTACATTATCACTGATCACTGTGGAGATACATTGTGAAAAATTGCAAATAATATGAAAAAATCAGGATGCCAAAGTATGAATACAGACATGCATATTGTGCATCTTGGATGCAAATGAAAAAAAAATGCAGCTTTGCCTATTAGAAGCAAAGAATGCAAAAAAGAGAACACGATTGGAGCATATAGCCCTAAATGAAAAATGCTCATCACTGCTCTTCAATTACACCTATCTTTTATTAAGCCACTGGCCTAATTACAATGATATTATTTCCTACAGTTTAGATCTGCATTTTAGCCAGCAAATCACATGTTCTCCAGCTGAGTCATAGATCAGATCAGTAGCATAAAGATAATCTACAATCTATGTTTAATAATCAGCTGTTCTAAAATAATATTGCCAAATATAGTCACATCTCACAAATGAGGATTTTTATGGATAGAAATCTATCAATTTTACTCTCCATGAGTTTTGATCCCCCCATCCTAGTTTTTAAGTTTCCTAATCTTATTTTTATATTTTTAGCAAAGATTGGTATGAACTTATTTGTACTTACAATTCTCATTCATCCAAATATATATAAGATAAGGTGGGAATTTTTGACTATATATCCAAAGGGAATACATACCAATTCCTTCTCTTTTTTGTCACACATGAGTAGCTAAAACAAATAGCTGTTTTTAATATTGATTTTAGTCACTAATGTTTACATGTATTTCTCCTAACTATCCCAACTTTGTTGATTCAGTCTCAGATACCCGCATAATGATTTCCCCTGTGGTGGTGAATGATCACAATAAAATATTTCAATATATATCATACACACTCTAAGATACATCTAAGCATACACACACAACCTAATTTATGTTTGATTTTTGATAAGACAATTACATTGCATAATTTGCATAAAAATAAATATTGAGATATCTGGATTCCAACTTGTGTATTGTTTAAAGAATTGAATTTAGATCGGTTCATAGTAAGATATTAACTGAACCAATCTCTTTCCCATCACTGCCTGCTGTAAGTCCCAGTAAATTCCACAAAATTCAGTAATGGGAAATATTATTACCATTCATCTGAACAGGTATTGAATATGCTGCATATAGAAATCAACTTGAATGTCAAAGATACTACATGCAAATATCTGGAAACTACAATGCTTTTTACTTCTACTCAGGCACAAGCACCTCAAACTAAACAAGATATTAAGCTGTTAACAAAATTTTAAAATACAAAAATAGTTAAGCATACTTTTTTTCCAGAAACCAGTAACTTTTTTCCATATTTTATACTTTCCTAATGCAATTAAACTATTGTAATGCTAAGAATATAGAAAAATCTTATCTTAGGTATCAAAATTAAATTAGACTGGATTACAGTTATATATTTAGAACACCTTTATCTCATGAAGATCTTGATGAGGGACACCCATATTTTTTAAAAAATATAGTTTTGCTTGCATGTATTAACAAATTCTACCTAATTATTGTCTAAGAAGCTTCATCTGTAATACCCAAAACTTCGGAATCACCTCCAAGAAATTTTCCTTTTCGTTAGGATCCATCTGGTAAAATGTTCCTTGTAATTAGGATCCTCCAGGCTGTGCTGTGCAGTTGGTTCCCATCTCTTGCGAAGAGCTGCTGCAGTCCTGGCCATCATCCCTTAGAGAAGGTGCAGTTTCAGGCATCTCTGTCAGCCTTACTGCTGCCTGCATTTGCTTTTCTAATTCCTCTATCAGTTCTCCCGAAACAGAAGTAGACCGTACAGAAAGCTTTGATTTTTCATTACTACCCTCCAGTGTCAAAGTGCCCGTGTCTTGCCTTAATCCATTATTGTCAATAAGTGGGACTGTCCTTTCCTCTAGGAGTGTGCATTGTGAAGGATTTATTTTCCCATCTTCACTGGCTGAGGACTCTTGTTCATCCGAATCAGAGACTTCTGTCTCGTATGATGAAGTGCTGCCCGAATCCTCGAATTCACTGGTTTCTTCTTGAGAGGGAGGCGGCAGCTGCTGCTCAGAATTGTCTGCGTCAGTTGCTTTTAACTCTTTCTCTTCCTCGTGTACCAGAAGTGCAGCTGTTTCTAGCTCATTTAATTCGAGACCCAAGTCCTCCTTACTCAGCTCTGCTTTCTGCACACATTCAGCGAGCGCTGCCAACTTCTTTGACCTGTGGAAGGGAAGATAAAAAAACATCCGGTGTTCTGAATGACACGAATGCAAAAGTGACTAAACCAATGCAAACTTATACACAAGACAATAAATAACAAGCGCTCCCATGAGTAGATTTTCTGATTATTCATCAACTAAACGTCAATCATGCTTCTTGGTCTTTTTGTCTACCTGATTTATAAAAGCACCTTTCCTCTTAATCCCACCATTGCTAACATTCCTCAGTAAATTCAGTACTGATGGGATGAAAGAGTGGACAACATTCTTCAGCGGGATGAAAGCATTAATGACTGGAGACTCCTTTAACAGCTGCCCAATTGTTAAGCTTGGCAGTGGACAATGGGTGGATGGAGCCAAGCTTCTCTTCCTCTCTCCCTTCCCATCATTCCTCTGATAAACACATATCCTGCAGACTAGTTTTATTTTTGTACTTGATGTGTTTATATAGCCACACGTACCTCTGGGTGGTGTACAAAGATAAAAACACAAAAACAATAGAATGAAATAACAAAAAAGCAGGAAAATTCATTTTAAACTTAAAAATAATACAACCCATTATTGTAAAAAGCATAATTTGCAGGACGATGAACTCATTTTCAAAGTAGCAATACAGCCCCTCTACAGGCTCCACACCCCACTTTATCAGGCCTCCCCAGACCTGGTGACGAAGTCATCACTTGAGATCTTTCTAGAGGTCCAGAAAGTTGGGGCCGATCTGATCTCAGGGAGAACGATGTTGCGGAGTTGGGTGCCAGTGCAGAAAAGGCTCTCTTCTTGGATCCTATCAGGCAATACTCCATCCTGGATGGGATCACCAACATGCCCTTTTGAGTTAAATCTGATGGGGCAGGTAGAGGTGATTGGAGAGAGGCGGTCCCTCAAATAATCCAGCTATATAGGGCTTTAGCGGTAATTACCAGCACCATGACTTGAACTTAGAAACAAACTGTTAACCAATACAGCTAGCATAACATAGAGGTGTAAAGTGTACTGATCCAAGTTCCCACATCATTCATTTTACACCAGCTGGAGTCTACAGATGCTCTTCAAAGCCAGTCCCATGTACATCATGTTACATTAGTACATGTGGAAGGTGACAAGGGCATGAGTGACTGAGTGCAGGGTCTTCTGGTCTAGAAATAAGAGTAACTGTCATACAACCTAAAGTTGTGCGAAGTTCTTTTCAGACATGACTGCCATTTGCTCATCAGACATGAGTTACAAGTTCCATAAGGGTCACCAGATTGTGCACCAAGGCTGTTCTGGAGCTATGCTACCCCACTCAAAACTAAGGATAGTAAACTCTCAAGTGATGATGGCCCTAAAAGCTGCCGCTGTTGAGCTGAAGCCTCTTGTCCCCCATCTAAATCCTCAAGTTGATACCAAGACAGGATATCAATAGCATTGCTTATTTCACCTGATGTGAAGTAAGCAATGTGAAATGAAGTATGATGCATAATGATGATGTCTCACACCATGTCTAAAGATGACCTCTATCAACTGCTTCATGTAAATGTTAATGTTGTGGTCTGCCGGCGGCCTGCGGAGCTGACAGCAGAGTCAGACAGTGGGGAGGAAAATGGGCCAATCCTGGAGAGGGCTCAGACAAGGGATCTGCATCCGACAAAGAGATGGGGCCAGAGCCATCTGAGAATTATGTGCTGACTCTGGAGCTTCCAGAATCTGACATCAGCGAGGCAGAGGAACAAGGGGAGCCTGTTCCTAGTGCACGCTTGCACAGAGCTGCCAGAAGGCAAGAATAGTTAAGACAAAAGGGGCGACTTGGGAGTAAGGTTTGGAGATGATTGGCCCTTCCATAAGACGTAAAGGAGGAGCAAAGGGACATGAAACTTTGCAGGAAGCAACTTTGTTTGTTCTGGTCGGTTTAAAATCTGAAGCTCCATGTTGACTTTATGCTCCATTTGGCCTTGTACAGCTAATTGGCAATTTAGTCGTTGGCAGCATTTCAAAGGTGGGTGCTTATCAACTTTATCCCGAAAGACTGTGGCAGACTTCTGTTGGATATTCATAAACTGTTTGGGACTCATTACAGGATGTGAATGCACATAACTCACAGCCTTTGAAATAAAAACAAGGTTTTTGGGGACAGCGTTAACCAGAACAGTTAAATAGGACAAGAGATCTCGGCTGCGTCAGGATAGTTGGAAGAATAAAATATAAAGTACCACCCCTTCCCACTGCTTAATCAGGATCAATGATGAAATCATATTTTCAGGATTAAACATCTCTCTGAAATGGGTGGGTATCAGCTGGGAGAGGGTGACTTCTGCATGTCCTAGCTGCAGAATTGCTGGCTAGCAGGTCTTTATAAAATGCTTTTCAGGCTCTAGTCACTGTATTAATTTTATTTAATTATTTTTATTTATTGGATTTCTACGTTGTACATCACACCAATACAATGACTCTGGGCAATTTTTACAATGTGGCAAAAGCTAAAAAGTGCAAAAAACAATTAAAATAGAATAAAAAGCTAAACATTAAAAAACAAGATAATGGTCAGCTTGAGAGAGCTTTTTCTCTATCTCATCAGCCACCCTCAATATAGTGGGTTCCTGTCAGTGTCCCAGGCCAAAAGCTAAAGATGAATTTTTAGGCTCTTCCAGAAAGCCATTAATGTGTGGGGAGATCTCATCTCTAAGGCGAGACTATTCCAAAAGGCTCTTCTTCTGGATCCTTCTAGTTGAAATTCTTTGGCTGAAGGAATCTGAAGTAGACCCTTTCCACTGGAATGAGTGGGGTAGGTTAATCCCATACCATTTTCCCTTAAACCATGTGGATAATAAAAGGCTGCATTGATCTGTAATCTGGAGAAATATGAATTCAACAAACTGCAAAGGTATTTCTAAAATATGAGGGGGAAAAAATCCCTGTCAACCCTGGAGCCATCTTTAAGCATCTTCAGGATTGTCACAGCAAGGCTGGTTGGAGCTGTGAGAAAGGGAAGGGGGAGTAGAGATAGCTGAGGGGAATATGTAGCCAAAATAACATTCTTTCTTCTGTGAACCAAGGATACTCTCGACAGCACCTGGAGGGGATGGATGGGAGGCATCCGGAATGGGGAGAGAGACCTGATTGGGGCATGTGACGGTTGTGTGTAATGGGAGGGGAGCACTGTGGACTTTGAATTGGGTGGGGAAAACCCAGGGGACTTCAGATTCAGGTTATCACCAGCTGTGCCAATATGACATGCCCAATAAATCTATACTTTGAAGAACCCTGCCTTGGAGTTTTGATTTGAACCCTCACAGTCACCTCCCTTCCCCAAATATTCTAAAATCAATTCCTGATACTATCCAGCAGCCTATAAACCAATGGAGACTATGCTACATCTATTTACTCATGATAGCCAACAACATTTAAACAAATAAATAAATTAAAATAAATAGATACAAAGATTCAGGTCTATAGAGCCTGTGTTTTGAGCACTTGTACTGCAGTGGGTCTTCGACCTTTTACACATGGCAGGAGAGAAAGTTGAACACCTTTCATATGTGCTGTCTCTGACATATTCTTGGCATCACCTGGCATGACAAAGTTCCAAACAGCGCAGTCTTGGAATGTGCTGGAATTTCTACCATGTATATACTATTGAAATCTACGCTGCTTTGGGCATGTAATGAGGATGGCTGATGTGCGGATTCTGAAAGACCTCCTGTATCAAGAATTAGTGCAGGGAAAGCGCCCTAGAGGGAGACCACAGCTGTGATATAAGGATATCTTCAAGAGGGATCTAAAGGCCTTGGGAATGGATATCAACAGCTGGGAAACCTCCACCTCTGATCGTTCAGCTTGGAGGCTAAAGGCACAGCATGGCCTTCTCCAATTTGAAGAGACACTTGTTCGGCAGGCTGTCCCAGAACCAGAGAAATCTGGGGGCTGGACAGGGGACAGACTGTATCTGTCCTCAGTGTGGAAGCGATTGCCACTCTCGAATTGGCCTTTTTAGCCATGCTAGATGCTGTTTTAGGACCTCTTTTCAGAGCACGATACCATAGTCTTTTGAGACTGAAGGATGCGTCTGTCTGTCTGTCTGTCTGTCTGTCTATCTGTCTATCTATCTATCTATCTATCTATCTATCTATCTATCTATCTATCCATCCATCCATATACATACACCCCTCCCCCACTGAAATCAATTTAACAATTACAAGCCTGATTAAACAGATGCAGGTTTACAGATTTTTCTGTTTCCTGAAAGAGAGAGAGGTAATTCTTGAATGCTTTGTTACCAGAAAGGTCAATATCACCACTTCAAATTATGCTTGAGAGGGTCCTGGCAACAAATGCCTAACACCCTATTATACAAGCTTCACATGATTCCTGTAAATTCAATGACAGCTGAAGATCAAGTTGCATTTTCCGAGTGAATACAGTATAAAAATTTCTTTCAGAAGAATGCATGGCTGTTTGAACTTTAATCCTAAATCAGCTCTCTACTGACAATGGCAGTCTTGTCTGGATTAAATGGTAGCTTGTTCTCTTTCATCCATGTGTCACTGAACTTAGACAATGCTTCCTTAAGAGTAGCTGGAAAATAGAAGCAGATCATTCCAAGTTCTGAATGATCACCATTAGTGTTTCATGTAGCTATTGAATATCAAGACCAAGGGTGTCAAACTCACATTGGCACCATGTGACGTATTGGGATGTGTTTCTCCCTTTGCTAAACCAGGTGTTGGCGTGGCCAACGCATGATGCATCTGGCTGGGAGTCTGACAGCCCAGATCAAGAGGAACAAGTTAGAACCTTGTGGGATATTAGAGGTCAGAAATCCAGGCTTATATAGTAAAACTACACCATTGTGCTCAATATCCAATCCTTCCTGATAATCTTGAAGGATAGCCATAATAACAAAAGTCGTGAACAGTTTGGGAGAATTAGCAAGTCTGCATTTATCCCACCGAATTTCAATCAAGGCATCGCAGCAGTTATCCTGGTTGAAAGTCCAGCTGAAATGGATCCAGATAGCACATTTAA